GGTCGAGCGGGGCTTTGTGACGTCAGGCGGCCGGCGGCGTCACGCGCGGGCTGACCCGGCGGCGGGCGGGCGGGGCGGCCGGGACGCGGGAGCATGGAGCCGCGCGCCGGCTGCTGGCTGCCCGTGCGGGTGGAGCAGGTCGTCAACGGGGCGCTGCTGGTCACCGTGAGCTGCGGCCAGCGCAGCTTCGCTGGGATCCTGCTGGACTGCACGAAAAAGTGAGCGCGGCGTGGGGCGCGGGCCCCGGACACCCCCAGAATCCCCTCGGGACCCCCCCACCCCCCCCGAGGCCTGGACCCAGCTCCCGGGCAGCGCTGGCACCCGCTTTCCGTTTCCCTAACCCGGGTTTCGGGGCGCGCGAGCGCGGCCGCCACTCGGGGGCGAAAGTGGCTCTCAAAGTGGTCGCGACTTTTCGGGCCGGGGGCGGGCGGGGCCTGGGCGCGGGCGCGGGCGCGGAGCCGGAACCCTGCGCCTCCGCCGTAATTAACGCACTTTTCTTTGTTCAGACGCACTGTTGAATTCGGCTGTTTTCAGAATTGTCATCCGTTGGGGGTGGGGGAGCGCGTTCAGAGGCGCCGGTCTCGCCCTGTCAGTTACTCACAACCGGGGCCGCCTCCACTAACGCCACGGCGCCCGGGCTCCTGGCGGCGAGCGGTTGTCCCCAGCCGTGGGGTTTACACACACTTTTGGGTGGAGGAACCCCCAGGTGCAGGAGTGAACACAAGTTGCGCTGGTTTCTTTGGAGGAGGGTCCCCCGCGGGCCTGGGGGCACATCCACCGGCCGGAGGCGCACCTGTGCCGGCTGCAGGGCTCCAGGCTGCAGGAGTCTCCTGGAGACAGCGTCACGTGGCTGCGCGCGGGCGGAGGAGCGATTAGGCGTGAAGCCCACACTGATGCGCTTCTGCTAGGCCTCGTTGTGAAGCTGGGCGCCCCGAGCCGCTTCCCGCCCAGAAGCCCCACTTCTCCCTCCGCGGAGCCGGGTTGGGCGCCGGTGGCGCGGATGTGGCCGCAGGCCCAGCACTCTTAGACAGTCACCCCACCGGCATTATCTCTTCATTAGATGTGCCAGAAGCCATTTATGCACGAGTCATGTGACTTAACATATGGCCTCCCGGTGACTGTCATCCTGCAGAGTGCCTGGCAGGACCAAGGACCAAATGACACTTGGGGGCTGCAGCATAGCCCCCTGCAAGCTGCCAAGCCTGTGTCCTGGGGGGGGGTCCTCTGCCCCCAATGGCCACCACTTCCTCCCTCAGGCGGGGCTGTGGGCCTGGCTTGGCTCTGCTGGGGCCACCGCTCAGCCCTGCCGGCCTCCTCCTCGGAGAGGGGCTCCCGAGGTTCCCCTGCATCGTGTTTACTGGGCTCCCTGACCCAGGACAAGGTGGGCTGCAGGGCGCCCTGACCTGTGGCTGGGGACGTGTGCCGAGGCGCAGGCTGCCCCTGCGGCCTGGACTAACCTGGTTTGGAGAGCCACACATCCCCGCCCCCTTCCACTGCCTCCTGGAAGAAAGCAGGCCCTGCTGCGATCTGGCAGCTGGAGGACGTGTGGGCGTCAACCCTCCGCTGGTCATGGCCACACTCTGCTGTAACTGGAGCCTCCCACAGAACCAGGAGCTGGCCTCGGTGGGCACAGCTCTGCTCAGCGCTGGCCTCCGGACTTGAGTTGCTGTCCCCACCCAGTCCTTGTGGATAATCTGGAAATAAACCTGACCTCTTCCTGCCCTCCACCCCTGCAGGACTTGGTCCTGAGCCTGCACCTGCGCCCCACCCCCGCCTCTCCCTTGCTGTCCACCCTGGTTTCACCCTGATGCCAGCTCTCTACCCATAATATTACGGGGGCAACGCTCACGTCCACAGCCTGCTTGTCAGGCAGGGTTCAGGCAGCTGGCAGCCTGGCCTGGATGTTTTAGGCAGTGGGGCCTCAGGGTCTACACACCCGCCGGCCTTCCCAGGGACCAGTTTCTCCTCAGTGCCTCCCCCCGCCCCAATATGTGACAGTGGCAGAGTCAATTAGTGGAGCCCCATCCCAGGTGTGAGCACTGGCCGGCAGGGAAAAGCAGCTGGGAGCTCCGCCTGCAGTGCCCACCCGCCTCCAGGGGCCTGTGGGTCCCAGGGCAGTAGGCTGCATCTGCCGGGGCCCACGGTGCAGTAGTCGGGCATGTGCCAATGACCGGCACATGTAAGCAGCTCCCCGAGCCCACAGGCAGAGCTGGGGGCCTGGGAGTCCTGGGACTAACCAACCCAAGTGTTTCCATTGGGAGGGAGCTGTCCCACGAGAGGGACCAGGGCCCAGCACCAGTGATGATGTTTGTTGGGCTTTTGGGAGGTGGGTCCTCTTCCCCAAATGTTGGCGGAGGGGAGAGGAACTTGGGGCCAGCTCAGGTCTCAGCAGGTGTGTGCGCCATGGCAGGCCAGGTGCCTAGTACCGCCTCCTGTATGTCCGCATCTTGAAACTTCTGCCCAGCTGCTAACTTTGCGGAAGCAGTATCCCCGAGTGCCTGCCCACGCAGGCACTCACATGCATTCACTAAGCACCTACTGTGCGCCAGGAAGTGGGCTGTCCAGGCAGGCTGCTGTAAATGGTCCTCCCAGTGTGTCTCCAAGCACAGTAATGACACAGATGGCCCGGGTCTGCGCTGCTCTGCAGGTGGGGACTTAGGGTGGGTACAGGCATTTTGTGAGTGGTTTGGGATATACCTCTGGTTGAGGACCTCGGGTGGGGTGGCCCAAGGACAGCGGAGCCTCAGAGTGGCGAAGGGGTGGTCTCACAGACAGTGGGTGTGAGGGCCAGCTGCCTGCCAGGCCTGGCTAGCCCAGAGCCTCCAGCCTTGACCTCTAAGCTGGTGCTTCTCCGGCTTCCCCAGCATGTTACCCAGGACGCCATCAGAATGGAACACTCCCGGGCCCTCTGCTAGGAAGGCTGAGGGGCAGGGCTTGGTAACCCACAAGCACCCTGGAGGGTGGGCCCCAGGCTGCCGGAGACTCAGCCAGCCAAGCCTCCCAGCCACAGTCCATTCCCGGGCAGGAAAGCACCCCCGCTCCATGCAGGCTCACCCCCTGTCCAGAATGGAGACTTGGCCACTGGTGGCTGCTCCTGGGACAAGTCACTGGACAGACCGGATGGGCACCTGGGACCGCCTGGCCCCATACCCGTGGGGGAGGGGAAGGCTCCCGGGAGTGGCCCTGGATGAGGGGACACTCTGGGGTCCAGGCTGCGACGTCCCTGCCAGTGTGTTTTCTCCAACTCCCTGAACACAAGTGGCCCGGCAGCCTCATACCACAGCACGCCTGGTGGCACCTGTGGGCACTGCCAGGTGGGCTGGGGCCTGCGTCCCTGGGCACAGGACAGTATAGGTCAGCCTGACCTCACTGAGGGCCCAGGCCCTGGGGTGAGCCACAGGCCACAGTGGTGCCATGCCTTGTGCCCTGGGGCCCAGTGGAGGTCTTCCTGCTGGGACAGGCTGCTGAGGTCCTTCCGGGAGAGAGTGGCTTGTGCTGATGCTACCCGTGGGCCTGAGGCAGGCCTGCGAGGCTCTCTGGTCTCGGTCAGCCTCACTCCCCGTCCGCAGAATGGGGTGGCGATGACGTGTACCTCGTGGGGCTGATAAAAGGGTTTGGGAGCCAAAGCCCCAGCAGCCCGGGGCACCTGCTCTGGGATCTGAGCAGGGGAATGAGTGTTTACCCACCAGGCACTCGTGGGTGTGGCCTGGGCTGGGCAGCAGCTCCGGGAAGGAAGTGTGGCTGCCCGAGTGCCGGAGTCATGGGGCCGTTCCACAGGGCTGCCACTCCCGTGGAAGGACCCCGCCCCCAGGCTCCTCCTGGGCTGAGGGGACACACACACCAGGGAGGGCAGGTACCTGTGTCTGGTGGGGGCAGGCCGGCCCACCCGGGGGCCCACACAGAGGGCTCTGGCCAAGGGCCGTGTCTGTGCCCCCCGAGGAGAATGTGCCACACACAGCGCAAAGACCCTGGACCGGAGCTGCGGGCCTTTGGGGGGGTGGGGGAGCGACTCGCCCCGCGCCCTGTGGCCCAGCCTGTGTGTGCAGAGAGGGGGCCCAGGAAGCTGCACAGCCGCCATCTCTGGGCTGGCCAGCTAAGGGTGCCGCCTGTACGTGGGAGATGGGAAAGGGACTGCCCGGGGGCCCAGCTGTTGGGATTCCTGAGCGCCAGATGGCAGGAGGGGCTCTGCTGCCGCAGCAGGTGGTGCGGGGAACCGGGCCAGGGCTTGGGGGCAGGGGCAAGTGGAGGCCAGGGGGAGCGTGTGGGCTGCGTCCGAGTGGGGTGGCCTTACAGGGCCTGGGAGGGTGGGACAGCGAGGACACGGGTGAAGAGAGGGTGTTAGAGGAAGCCTCCAGTTCATGGTCTGAATGCAAAAGGTGGGCAGGAAGTGGGCTCTGGGGGCGGCCTCAGGAACACCCTCCCAGGCCCGGCTGTGGTGGACCCCCCAGTCTGTGGACCCCCCGGTTTGTGGACCCCCCAGTTTGTGGACCCCTGGGCTGATAGGAAAAAGAAGAAAATTAAGTCTAACGTGATTTCCAGGCTTTTACCAGTGATCTTGAATTAAGCAAGAATTGGGCAGTATTCAGATGGCTGATGTGGTTTTTGAGTTAGCTCATTTCACCAACATGATGATAAGGGCCGTGGGGGAGGGACAGCCCCGGGTCCGACGCCTGGCCTGTGTCACACGCCCCGGTTGCAGGCTCTGCGTCCCGTTCTGCTCGAGTCGCCCCCACCCCGCTCCCGGCCTGGCCATGTCCCCACCTGGGGGTTGGGGTGAGCTGTCCAGCTGTGGGTGCTCAGGGATGTGCTGGAGACAGTGACGCCACAGTCACAGATGGTCGGCCCCTCTTAGCGTCCCTGGAATCTTCTGGAAATCAGTAAATGGAAGACTCACCTGGAAACCGAAAAGCAGCAAAGCTCATTGCTGTCCTGCTTGGTTGAGTGAGCGAGGAAGGTAAAGGTGTGACATTGTAGATTTCGTTGCTCATAACGTGACTAGAAGTACGTGTGTGCTTCAAAAGCAATAGCTTTTCCCTAAAGCGGTCTTACCAATACATCCCATTTGTTAAAACGCCACGTGTGTTCACTGTTGAAGAAGGGTGCAGACTGGGCTTGTTTATCACGACCTGGGACGATGTCAGCGTCCCCGGCCTCACCACCAGTACCCCGGAGTCCGTCACAGCTGGTGGGCCTCATGGATGTGTAGCAGCCAGGCCTGGGGGGGACCCTCCTCTCTAGAAGGCGTGCTGCCCCCCAACTTTCAACAAAACCCCAAAGCCATTTGAGGTGTGGAAACGTCTGAATGGGGGCTGCCTGGCCCAGGCCTTGGGGAGCCCTGGGATGCTGGCCGTGTGGCCTCAGCTGTGGGTCCTCGTGGGAGGTGGGCCTCCGGCCTTCCCATAGGTCACGTGGCCTTGTTGGTGCCGGCTGCGTCCGGTCCTGGAGCTGGAGGCCCTGAGGGAAGGGCCTGGGAGTGCCAGGCAGGAGGGGGTGTTTTCAGGTTGTGATGGGCAAAGTGGTGTGGATGACGCCCTCACCTGAGGGCGACGGAAACAGCTGGGCATTCAGGAGGCAGCGGCTGAGCCCCAGGCCCAGGGCTCTGGCGTGAAGGCTGAGCCCTGTTCCCTTGCGCTGCAGAGGCTCCAGCTGTGTCCCCCAACCCCAGACGCACGTCAGACACTAGGACCCAGGTTCTGGCCTGGGACAGGGGGCCCTCCACAGGGCTTGCTTGGGGTTTTCCTCTGGGAGAGAGAGCAGGTGAAGGCCCTGAGCAAGGGGCACCGGCCACCGGGAGCTGCCCCCACAGGCTGGTTCAGGTTCAGGCCATGTCCCAGAACCCCCGGCTTCCTGGGCCCCCACGCCAGCTCTGGCGCCTGGGGGGGCTCTCCAGCCGCGAGCCTGCATTCCGCGTTGGGGACACGCAGTGCCTGTCACACTGGAGAGGTGGTCCCCCGACCCCACGAGCTTACACCCTCACCCGGGACGCCCACACAGTATGAGCTTGGGCCCTTTGCCTGCGTTTAAAGCCCAGGGACAGCTCCGGGCACTCCAGGCAGCGCTAACACCCAGTCCCAAGGGGCCTGGAGCGGGGGTGGGGGCGGAGACGGCGGCGTCACCCTCCTGACTGTGCTTTCTGTCTCCCCTCCCCAGGTCTGGCCTCTTCGGTCCGCCCCCGTCCGCTCCACTACCACAGGCTGAGGACGCCCCTGTCAACGGCTGCCAGGGCCCAGCCCCCCCAGAAGGGGACACAGAGGCGATAGAGCTGGGGACGGGTCCCCTGCCGCCTCCCTGCCCTGAGCCACCCCCACCCCTGGTGCCGCCACTGCCCGCCGGGAGCCTGCCCCCATTCCCGCCGTATTTTGAGGGCGCCCCCTTCCCGCCCCCACTCTGGCTGAGAAACACTTACGGGCAGTGGGTGCCCCAGCCGCCCCCCCGGACCATCAAGAGAACAAGGAGGCGCCTGTCGCGTAACCGCGACCCGGGCAGGCTGGCCCTGAGCCCCATCTGCCTGCGGCCTCGCCGGGTGCTCTGTGAGAAATGCAAGAGCACCGTGAGCCCCCCGGAGGCCAGCCTGGGCCCCCCGGCCACCCCCCGGCCGCGCAGAAGGCTGGGCAGCAGCCCCGACCCCGACAGGGAGCTCCACAAGCACGAGGACCCGGACGGCAGGGGCGACACCGTGGCCTCAGCCCCCGCGAGGAGGAGCAAGCAGAAGAGGCGGAAGGAGGGGGGCCAGGCCGGCGTACCCCGGAGCCCCGCCATCAAAATCTCCTACAGCACGCCTCAGGGCAAGGGCGAGGTGGTGGAGATCCCGTCCCGTGTGCACGGCTCCCTGGAGCCCTTCTGCGCCCCCCAGGACCCCGAGGCCCTGCGGGACAAGCCACCCGGCGGGCCCTTCTCCTCCATCCCCAAGCTGAAGCTGACGCGGCCCGTGCCCCCGGGTGCCGATCTGCCGCCCCCCAAGATCCGCCTGAAACCCCACCGCCTGGGTGTCGGCGAGCAGGAGCCCATCTACAGGGCCGAGCTGGTGGAGGAACTCAACGGCCACGGGCGAGGCCCCCAGGCCAGCTCACCTGCCCCCCTTGCCACTGGCTCTGCCCCCGGGGGGCTGGCGGACGTGTCTTCCGGAAGTTCTGGTGAGGATGACGACTTCAGGAGGTGTCCCCAGGGTAAACCCAGGCGTGACGGCCTGGCTTTTCTCACCACCTGCCCCAGGAGCAGGGCGGACTGTGCCAGCGAGTCGGTGTGCAGCAGCGACAGCCTGGATGAGTCCAAATCGTCCAGCTCAGAAGTAACGTCACTAGACACGTGTGACTTTTCCTCTGGTGATGGCGTGTCCGTGCCATCCTCGTCTAAGGATACGGGGCAGACGGTCCCGCCCCTGACGGTCAGGCTGCACACACAGAGTGTCTCCAAGTGCATTACCGAGGACGGAAGGACCGTGGCCGTAGGGGACATCGTGTGGGGTAAGATCCGTGGTTTTCCTTGGTGGCCGGCGCGTGTCCTTGACATCAGTCTTAGCCAGAAGGAGGACGGGGAGCCCTCTTGGCAAGAAGCCAAAGTCTCATGGTTTGGGTCTCCGACTACATCATTCTTGTCCACTTCAAAACTCTCCCCTTTCTCTGAATTTTTCAAACTGAGATTTAACCGCAAGAAGAAAGGGTTGTACAGGAAAGCCATAACAGAGGCTGCCAGCGCCGCGCGGCACGTGGCCCCGGAAGTCAGGGAGCTCTTAACCCAGTTTGAAACGTGACTGGGGCTCCCGGACCAGGTGAGTGTGTGCACCGAGGCCGTCCCCCTGCTCTGGGTCCTGTAGCCCAGGGAGTGCAGGGATGTCCATCGGCACCTGGCTCGCTGCTCCGAAGGGGCCTTCGGACAATCGTCCTGCTTGCAGGCAATGTCACCCAGCTCTGCGGAGCACAGAAGAGGTGCTTTAAAAGTTGGCCGGTTGTCAGGTGCTTGTTCACAAATGAAGCTAGTCCGTGTTTTGTGGCCACTTTTCAAAGTGCCGTGAAAGGGCTTCCTACTCTTAGGTTAGCCTTTCGGAGAAAGGGGTGCATTTTTCACGATGATGGTTTTGACTGATGGGAGAGGACAGGGAGCGGTCCCTCTTCTGTTAGTCACTCTGAGGGACACACCTTCCTCTTCCCGAAGCCTGCAGCCGCCACCTCGCCCCTCCTGCTGTCATGCAGCTCAGGTGCTGTCCTGGGGCTTGACTTGGCAGGAAGGCGGCCACTGAGCTGCCTGCCCTCAGATGTCGCCCCCACCCCGCCTCCTGGCACCAGGGTGAGCCCTCCATCAGCAGGCAGCCGGGCGCTCCAGGCTTCCGGAGATGGCTCTGGGGTCTGTCCCTGTCTCGCCCTCTGTCTTTCCCTTCAGGAGAACTCCGTAGGCTTTCCAGCCACGGGCCTTACGCCGAGCCTCTGAGAGCTGGGAGTGTCACCACAGGGCAGTGTGAGGACATGGCCGAGGGGTTGGGCTGCCTGCCACACGATTCACTTGAGCCCTGAGATGCTGGGAGTGTTCTCGTCTGATGCTGCCACCAGCTGCTGCCTGGGCGGTGGGGTATGTCCCTCAGGTCACTGGCCCTGGCGGTGACTCCTCCCTGCTTGGTTCCGTGCAGGCTGTAGGGCCCCAGAGGCTCCAGGCTGCCGAGGGTGGCGTCCCCTTGGTGGGCAGCCACGGCCTTCCTCCCGGCTCCATGCCTGCTGTCCTGCCCATGGAGTGGAGATGGGGTGCGGGTGCTGTTCAGGGGGTGACAGCCATCCTCCACCCCCGCTGGCCTTTTCTGAGGTTTCTGTGACCTTCAGGTGACCTTGTCTGGCCAGGCCTGCCTGCTTGCCCACCTGTCCGGTGCCACAGTTTTCCAGGTGATGAGCCGTCAGGCCTTAGGGCTGGCTACCGTGCAACTGGGAAAGGGGTGTGTGGGGTCCCTGGTGTGCCCTGACTGCCAGGCCACATGTAGTGGGGTCCTAGGACTGAAGCGATTCTGAGGGGCTTGCCCCACCCACCCCTCTCCCCACCTGCTTCCTGCGTCAGGCCTGGTCACCACTCTGAGTCGGTCCAGGAATCGTCACAAACTGCCCTCTCCTGAGCCAGGCCCACCTCCTCCCTGTCAGCGCTGGACTTTCATGCTGGGTGTGGGCGCGGCAGTGACTGTTGGTGTTGAGCCAGCAAGGTCTCAAGTGACGGCACCCCAGGGGGCGGGGGGCTGGCTCACCAGGGATCCAGAAAAGGTCAGCTGCCCTGGTGTCCTCTTCCCAGGGTGTCTCTCTGCCATGGCCTGGCTCAGACGGGACCCCAGGCTCTGGCCACGTCCTGCTGGCCCAGGGACCATCGGCAGGGCGCCGCCTCTCTGTGCTCCTTGCCACCCCTGACCCAGCCCTGGCCACATCCTGCCTTTGGCCTGGTCCTGGGGCCGGCGTGGAGGGGGGACCCCTCTCGGGTGTGCCGTGGGCACACACTGTCAGCGAGGGAGTGGGGAGCAGGTCAGTCCTCAGAACGACCTTCAAGTCCCGGGTCATGGTGGCAGTTACGGTGCCAGCAGTCCGGCCGGCGGGGACCCCGGCGCTGGGAACATGCAGAGCAGTGGGCTCATGGCTGGCTGCTGTTAGGTGCTTGCCTGCTGAGGAGCTCGCGGTCTCCTCCAGTCTCGGTTGGGGGGCTGTGCCGTGCTCAGTGGTGTGCGGAGCTCTGGGCCCGTGGGTGGGCGGCTCCTTTTGGCACCAAAGCCCCAGGTGCTTTTGCTTGATGGACGTTTCGGTTTTGTTTTTTGAGGATGAAAGACTGAGCTGAGGTACGTGCCAGCCTGGTGTTTGATCTGCTGGCAGTGGTGAGCGGGGCCTCCTGCTCCGCGTGGGGTCAGAGGTCTCCCGGTGGACATTATGCTTTGAAGGGTCACCGATGCTCTTGGGGAGCAGCTGCTCCAGCCAGCTCCCAGGAGGGGAGGCTGGGAACTGCTTCCACTGGGGAAGGGGGACGTCCCTGGGCGAGGCGAGGGCTGTGGGACTGGTGCGGGAGTCCCAGCCAAGCTCGTGTGCGATGCTGGTGGGGGGCCAGGTGGTGGTGCTGAGAGAGGGGCCACGGTCGCTGGCACCTGGGCGTGTCCTGGGGGAAAGGAGGCTGGCGTGGGGGCCACGGGGCTGCGGACACGGGGCCCGGAGCCAGGGCAGGGGAGGCCTGCCAGGAAGGGCTGTCCCGCAGGCCCCACTCATTGGCGGCCCCAGCAGGCCCTGCAGTGTCGAGAGCTCCTGGGGCTCGGGGGTGTACCACTCCGGACACTTGTCAGGGAGGATCCCGCAGACACAGCGTGATCGGGTCTCTTCCAGGGACGTCATGTTGAGCATCTTGTCCCCGAGAGTCCCCTCCTCCCCACCTTGCAGGGTGGCTGGAGGCTCAGTGAGAGGCGGGTGCCCACAGGGACACTCTGCAGAAGCACCGCGCCAGCCTGGGGCCAGGCGGCCGGGGCACTGGTGACAGACCGTGTTGGGCCTCAAACAGGGACTGTCCCCGGAGTGCTAGTGCGCCACTGGGGACGTGGGCGCTCCTCCTGAGGGAGGCCCTGACCTCCAGTGCAGACACACTGGGCTGCCTGGCCCTGTCCTGCTGGTCACTTGCCACTCAGGCCCCAGCAGGCTGACATCTCTGAGCCTCAGTTTCCCCATCTATCTCAGGTGACAACAGCACTTGCTCCTGGGTTAGGTGGTGAGTGAGGGTCCCCTGGGGGCTTGTTAATGACCCGTCCGCAGCCGCCTTTGGAAGTGGCACCTTTCCAGCTCAGCGGGAGCCGTCTTCCCAGGGGCTGCTCCCGTGTGGCCCACCGCAGGCTGGCAGGACCCCCCAGCTACGGTGGCTCTGAGGCCCACAGGCCACGTGTTCCTGGCTGGACGGGCAGGCCCTCTCCTTCTGACCACGGCTCTGCTCAGGGGTCCTGCAGGGCCAGTCCCCCAACCTGACAGGTGCTGGTGACGCCTGCTGGGGCGGCGTGAGCCCCAGGGCGTCGGGGCTCCTTTTCCTCTAGACCTGTGGTCACATCCTTCTCTCCCAGCCCCCTGCCCACTCACCCCTCGCTGGGGACCTGGGGACAGGGCTGTGAGCTGCAGTCCCCAGACTTTGTGTGAAAACACACCCAGGAACGTGCTGTGAAGGGTCAAGGGCCTCGCAGCGGAGCGTCTGGCGAGGAAGCTGACCTGGGCTGGCGGTCCGGGAAGACTGCCTGGAGGGGGTGACGTGGCCAAAATCCGAGCTGACAGGTGGGGGCGCACATCCAAAGCAAAGGGAGCGCGTGTGCCAGGGCCTGTGACAGATGGAAGTGGCGCGTTCCGAGGGGGGGGGACGGAGGCCAGCCTGCGCCTGGGGGCTGAGGCCTCATCTGAAAGCAGGGCCGCCCTTGGAGAATTCTAAGCAGAGGGTGAACGCTGCTGTTTGTGTTGGAAAGACCCCCGGCTGTGGGGACAGGAGGCTACATGGATATGCCAGCGGGTGGAAGATGGGGACTCGATCGAAGGGCGAGGAGTGAAGACGGGGAGCAGGGGCAGAAGCCTGGGGGAGACAGGTGGGGTACAGACGTCAGCTCCTGGAATTTGGGGCTACGTGCCCTTCCCCACGGAAGGTGGCTGCAGTTGGCCGGCACCTGAGCGCCCATGTCTGAGCGGCTGTCATGGATGATGGGATATCCTGGGTGAGGACAAGCCATGGCAGGGGGAGGGGCGGCGGGGGGAGGGGCAGGCGGCTTCAGAGCAGCGCAGAGGCGGGGAGGGGTGACCAGGGCTGAGGCCGAGGGCGAGCCCAGCGGAGAGGGCTGGATGGAGAGTGGGCAGCGTCTGCGAGGTCTGTGGAGAGGCGGGTGGGCCAAGGACCCAAGGGGAGGCCATGGGTGCACACAGGTGGGATGGGGCACCACACGGCGGGGGAGCGGTGATGGAGCTGTTACTGGGTGTCTGGCCATCGGGAGCAAGTCCCAAGGAGCCCGGAGGTGTGAGGACAAATGCCCGGCTGTCATGGGAGCCCTGACAGGACCCTGTGTTGACCTTTAAGGCTGGGCTCCCCTGGGCTCCCCTGGGCAGCGAGGTGGGCCGTGCACGCTGCTCCGCTGAGGTGCCTCCCAGAAGTGGCAGGTGGAATGTCACCCAGTGTCCCAGCCCCTCAGGCCTGTGGGAAATCCAGACTCTCTGTGAGCTGGATGGACCCCAGGGCTGCTGTCTAGCCTGCTGCCCGAGTGGCCAGGCTGCCAGTGGGGAACGCTGTGGGGCTCGCACAGCAGGGCCTCCCTTGCCTGACGTCAGTGGGCAGCTCGAAGGGCTGGACGCCCTCCTTCACGGAGTTATCAGCGTCCTTGGGGCTGGTGGCAGCCTCTGTATGAGTTTCCTGTGGCCACTGTCACAAATGACCACGCACTGGGTGGCTTGGAACAACAGATACTGAGTCTCTCGCGGTTCTGGAAGCCAGCAATTCAGAGCCAGGGGCTGCAGCGCCTCTGAGGCACGAGGGGCGGCTGCTTCCTGCCCCTGCTCGCCCTGGGGCTCCAGGCGCTGTTGGGCTTGTGGCCGCGTCACCCCAAGCTCTGCTCGATGGGCACGCAGACTCCTCTGCAGTGTCGAGCCTACCTCTGCCTCCTCATCAGGACGCCGGGACGGCATTTGCGTGACACCCGGATAACCTGCTTATTGCAAAATCTTTAACATGCTCACACCTGCGACACCTCTCCCTGGAAGGTCACATTTGGGTTCTGAGCCTGGGCCCTGCTGTCTGGGGCACCCGTCTCCTCCTGCG